TTCGTTCTGATTTATTTTGTACTTTCTAATAACACAAAAACAAGAAAATGTCACAAAAACAAGAAAATATTTAGTATATTACAAAGCTAATTTTTTTCTCTACTGTGCTCGTGTATTGAATCAGATAAAAGCGAACTCATAATATTTATATTTTTATATTCTTAGGTTTTTATGACATAATTCTTATGTTTTATCAAGTTATACGATCAGCATACCATTTGTTTCTGAAAACCGCCGACATAGAAACGAAGATATGCAGAACGTGAGTTTGTATGAGGCTGCTTCTTCAAATGCAATAAATTAAAATAATTTTTCTAAAAAGCAAATAAAGACACACATCGTAGTGAAAACCGGTTCTTTTATTATTTTAATTTTTCTTAACTGATGTTGTGAACAGATTGAGTTAGTAAGAGCAAATCAACAAGAAAATATTGGGATATGTTCAATGTTGTGCTAGATTGGCATCAGAAAAAGTTTTCATAATGCAGATGTTTTGATGAAGCAACCATAATTGATACTAATTTATTGAAAGAAAATTCAAAATCCATCTGAATAATAAGATATTCGGATAGATACAACAATAAAAAAAAGTGAAAGAGTGAAATACTTTTTTCGACCAAACATCCACATTTAGTGGATTCAACTTGCCAAGTTCTCCATGTGTGAATGATTTCAAGCTACCAAGCGAAAGAAGTCAAGCGAATATATTCAAAACTGCTAAGTCAAAGCCTCATAGAAAACATTGTCCTGCTGTTTAATTCAAAACATATTTAATTTTTCCCTTGAAGATTATATGAGAAGTTTTCCGCTGAAGACGGCAATGCGAACTTAAGTATAAAAAACGCATAAAACTGAAAACACCGGATACGTAATCATTACAAGTCTCTGCGGTTGTAATTCGTCTTTTATCGCAAGTCACTTTTGAGATATTTAACAAAACTAATTAGATAAGATTTTTCAGATTGCAATGGAAGACGCTGCCCAGCTGAAGGTACCGGATTTAATTTGAATTGCCGGTAGACGAATGCAAATTGCATTATGCAAAAGGGCAGATATGCAGAGTTGTTTGAAAAGCGCTTACAGCTCGTGATACGTATCGCAAATCAAAACAGACTGTCAGCTGTCCAGGGGATTTATAATTAGGAACAGTTGGTGGTAATGGCCAGATTTTAATTAGATAGCACAATTGTCTAGGATAATTTTCATCAAAACGCTGCCTACAGATACGGTACGTGTTAAATGCTTTTCAAACTTCAGGAAATTACATTTTAAGCTGCTCTGCAAATTATTAAAAACGCAATGACAAGCTACATTGAAAATTGTTGTTTCGGCACAGCATGCACTTAAGTACCTTGCGAAAGCTTGTTTATATTATTATTATTACAGCGGATAATTAATTTAGCACTTATAAATCCTAAGAATACAATTCCTAGATCAATGATATTAACATTTATGTAAAAAGTAGTCCAACATTCTAAGTGTTTTTTATCATTAACAAATAATGAAAAAATGGAAAAGGGAGAACATAAAAAAACTTTCTAGCAAATGATAGATACATTCAAACAAAAAGTTTTATCTGCTTTTTAACTTTTACGTAAATGTACATAGTAAAGAAATGCTTAAGCACAGTAAAGAACTTTAAAATTATTTTGCTTCAAAATTTACACTCCTGTGTCCTCACCCCCTTATAAATTTATCCTTCATTCCTCGTTCTTTACTACTTCTTTTCTTAAGTTAAATAAATGGCATGCGCCCGTGGGCTACGTAAAAACACATTAAAAGTGCTTCTTTATGATCATGACTTTTGTGCGAAGAGCGGCAATTGTTGATTCATTCGAATGAAAATGTTGATAACACATCAATAAAACTACACAAAATATATCTTGAACATAATTAGCTCTCACCTGTCGTTAGCAAAACAATCGTAAAACATGTACCGCATTGTCATCAATGAAATTTGCCAGAAATATCAACGATTTAAAGCACTTGCGAGAAAATATTGACGAAATTTTAAACGGTTTTTGAGTGAAGTCCGGGGAGGAATCGGGGCATCGCATAATCGGCTCGAAAATATCGCACAAACTAAATGAAACATTGAAAACTGCAATGTGAATCCGAAAATATAATGTTTTTCGGGGACTCCGTCCAAAATTATGCAAACATTGCGACACTTTTATTAATACACTTTAGCGCGTGAAAATATCTAAATTATCGCAAGAGGGGTTTTTCTGTTATCAAGCTGCCAAAATCTTCTAAAAAATCGTCGGTTATATATAAAAAGTGACTCAATAAATAGCCAAACGAAAATTATATTAAATGGATTTCATAAAAAAGTACAATTTTCCAAGAAAAACGAACCTTAATTATTAATAACTTATAAATTAATTTTACTGTCCAAATTGAAAATATGATATGAAGAGCTAGTTAAGTAAGTGGTTTGGAATTTTTTTTAGGTACGCAAAAATAAAATTATTCTGCTTTAAGCCACCAAACATTCCCAAGCTTGTTTTAACGGACTCTCCAACATATACAGGGTGTCCCGGAATATGTGGGCATGCTCTCGGATTTGTACATGGGACGTTAAAAAACATAACAAGTTCTTATAAAAAAATTGTCAGAGGGCCCCCTACGGAGATACTGGCCTCTAAAGGAGCCACCTGAGAATCGATTTTTTTTAAATAACTCTTAGAATGCTTCATGCAATTTAATAATTTTTTCATACAATGAACAGTACATCATTGCTGTTAAAAAGGACCCATGAAAACATTTTTAGCATTTCGGTTTGCCAAGGATGGACTAGGTGAAGCACAATAATAGTAATTTTTTTTAACCTTGACAATGAAGACACGAAAATAATGTACTTAGGTAATTTTAACTTTTAAATAAATAAAATACACTCTTGATTCATATCGATAAACAGAACGGTTTTCGATCCAAAGTATTTTTATTGAATACGGATTTTAATGCATGCATTGGTGGGCTTTATTTTTTAGTTATTTATTGGTTGGTTTTTTAACGGCGAAAGGTAAAAATTATATTTTACTGTCTGTCAGTTAGCGATAGAGCGATAGAGAGTTAGCGAGTTTGCTACTTTTTGCAACTTTAGCAACAAATTTATCTTATTCTTAAATTCCATTTTTTTCCGTAAAGGAATTTACGTTTTCGGAATATGCTGACATGCACTTAAGCATGTGATGCCGTAGAAGCCGAAAGGTTTTACGCGGAACGATTTCCAGACCGAAGAGTACCGGATAGAAAAACTTTTGAAAGAGTGGATCGTCGTTTAAGAGACATAAAGAGACAATAAACAAATTTCTGTATTTGCATTATCTTACTTTTTGAGTAGGTGAAATAATACATTCCGCAAATAATTTTAGGAGCGTTTGCCAAATCCAAACACAATTGTTTTAGATCCGATCAAGATATTTTAAATCCGGTAGAAGCAGATCCGTCAATAAGTGTACGGAAATTAAGTGCCCGGTTTCATTGTCCAAAATCTACAGTCTTTAGGATCGTTAAGGAACAGCAATTGCATCCTTATCACCTAGAAAAGGTTCATGCGCTTCTTCCTGAAAACCTTCCACGAAGGATGGAATTTTCAAACTGGCTTTTACGTATGCACAGAAATAATGCAAACTTTGTCGGTTCAGTTATGTTTGCGGACCAAGCTGGATTTTCTAAGCATGTGGTAATATATTGTTAATCACAGTTTAAAAAAGGTTGCATTTTGAATTTAAACCAATTTAAAATTATTCAAATGCCAAAGCCTTAAATATCTCCATATTAAATAAAATACACTTACACCAATTTGAAAGAAAATGGCTCACTTTGTCAACGTTATTACTATTCCATTGAAAAAATAAACTTGCTTCATTGGGAAACAAGTATCTAACTAATTTATCTCATCACTTCTATGTGAAACTTCATACAACAAATATCCATTAACTTGCCATATTGTTAATAAATATCTGGGAAATTAGCACCTTATGTTTAATGTCTTAATTGCAATCGTTCATCCTTCATTTAATAGATAAATCCCCAGTAAACACTTTCATATGACTTCGCAACTTCATATGTCGAAAAACCTTCAGCACAATCCAAACAGCGTTAAAATACAAGAAAAATGATGATCGCAGTTGTTTCCAAGCAGAACTTTTCCCAAGGAGAGTTTCTGCTCTCCTTGCTCACTGACAACCAATATCAATGTAGCGATGAATTTCGTGAATTTTAAAATTATCTAAAAACTGTGTAAATTCAATTCAAGCTGGCAGGATTTGCAAGGTTACGGTTACACCTGGATACACATTTGGACAACGTTCAAATTTTATAATCCACATTTCGGTTTATTTGAATAAATTTAATTAGGCACACGCAGTAAAATTGATGCAACATTTCACCCGAATGTAAACGGGAAACGTACATTATAAACGTTGGATTCGTTTATTATATTCTGGCCACGTATTTTTCTCGCATCAAAGTAAAATATATTGAATTATACAGTAAGGTCGATTGGGTTAAAATAAATGTATTTAATTTCAGTATGTTTTTGGAAAATCTGTTGGGCCGGACAAATTCTATTATTGTATGCGGTTTCCCCAAAAAAACTTCTTTAAGCAGGGAAACATCTATTTTACATTTTTTTTCTTTCTCGGTGATTTATGTTCCATCCCTAACACCAACCAGTTATCGACAAATTTACGATTGATCCTTTTATACCTCGGATTGGTGCTTTCGATACGAATTTATGTGATCTTGAATAAAACCAATTATTCATTGAATTGATTAAATTAATTTGCGAATAATTTTTTTATATACATCGATGAAAACCTTGTTGTTCATTCAAAACAGGAGCAAAAAATCAAACTCGATGTGTCTGAGCATTTTCCCAACATGCAGAACTTGGATAAACACACGATTTTCACTGTAAACATTTTGACTGTAGAAATAAATCGGTTTCGTTTTTCCGTTTGTTGAACTAAATTATTAAGACCTGAACTTACTTTGACTGGAACCCTTCAAACTCTTCCTGCTGCTCGGAGATCGATGCCTCCAGATCCAAATATGATCCATAATCTCCGTCTTTGTACAGCTGAAGAGCCGCATCGTCCAGCTGAAAATTATTTGAGAAGTTTTAGACAAGGTCAACAAAACAAAATTATTATCCTATGAATAAAAGCGCGCTTTGGCACATTATCAACGCAATTGTACGTAATGCTACGAACTAAAAAGCAACTGTATTAATAATAAAATTAAAAAACATGTAAAGATTAAAAAAAACAGTGTAACAAAGAATAGCCAAAGGCAAGAACGTGTTTGTTTATAATCCAGGCCCAGAAGAAAAAAAATTCTCAAGTAATTCCTTTGGGGCAAATCGAGCTGTAACTTGTCTCAAATGTCGATAACAATATAAGAAAGTACATATTGGTAATTAAGGTTCATTAGGATTCTGAACCGAATGGCGAACGGAAAATTATTACCACATAGAAATAGATCTTTACACTGCTTCTAACACTAATCTCAAACTTTGCAAAAAACAAGGCAAATCTTCTGATAAGCTAAAATATATAGATACAAAGAAAGTTAATTTTTTTAATTATAAAAACTTCCAGAAATTGAGTGCAAAGTTTAACAACCATTCGGTACAAATATTTAATTAGTTTAAAAAAATCGAGCAAATGTTTAAAAAACGTGAGATGAATACAATGAGAATTTCTTCGTGCATAAGGGCTTCTCATATATATTGTAAAATTAAACGTTAAAAATATCCTGGTTCGCACGTGCATAATGTTTTAGCTGACATTTTTAACACAGGGTTTGGGAAAATTACGATGTTCCCGACTTAACTTTGTGCAAAATGTGCTTCTTACACAAGGAAAAAATTAAAGAAAATAAGGCTTCAGGCCACAATGGTCAGACAAGTTTGTTGAGAACAGATTCATGTAAACATCTGAGATATTAAGTTTTATGAATTGATTTTGCGTAAATTTATGAAATAATCTAATTATTTTCTAGCTTTTCTCAACATGTTAGGATGAGGCAGATAATTTATTTACGGTTAAGGTCCAATATAAAGCCCTTTCCTGTTAAAAAAGTATTAGTTTTATTCAGTATTAGTTTGAAGTTTTACATATGGTTATCTGCTTCTTTTAGACTTTTTTGCACAAAATGCCAATAATTTAAATTAACTAATGTTTGCCTAAATGTTTTCTTTGCAGTAAAAGTATTTAAAAAAAATACACAATATATCTTTAAATAAAAAAAACCTTTTGCACGAAAATATTAACTGAAATATTTCCATTTTAGTTCAGTAAGAAAATGCATTGAAATTCATACAGGACTAGTAATGCATTTATCTATGTTCAAGTGCAAAGACTCTTTCACATTTCGAATACATCTAAATAGTAACTGTATTTTAAAATATGCGATTTGTAAGGGGCCCAGCTCCGTCGACGAAGCTGGGAATACAATGATGAGAAAACTCGTGGGAACTGGTCATAATTATTTAAATAACATACAAAGCATCATAAAGTGGTTTTGATTGATCCTCTATGTGGCCAATCAACATGAAGGTGATTTTTCAAATATTTCGAATTCAGAGAAAAATTTAATTGAATACCTAATCAAAAAAGACTCCAACCAAATCCTGTTTTGTAGTAGAGGCTGAACATTTCCCCATGGGTTTGTCAATAAGTTTACAATTATAACTAATACGTACCACTTCATCGTCGTTGTTAATTAAGAAAATTACATCCCTATGGAAGAGTTTGAATAAATAAACCATTACTCATCTAGACGCTTTTAATGATCTTCATAATATAATTCAAGAATGGTATTGAGAAACCGGACATGTACTAAATAATTCAGGGTCAGTATTGGACGATCAACGGATTGAAGTTTATTTTTAGAAAGTAAGTGAAGTTTGTTTTCTTCATTTCGTTTCTTTCATTCGATCATTCAATAATTTGGAGAACCTGTAACGTAACTGTAAATACCTCGTTTATGGGACACATCATAATTGATGAAGGTGCAAAAAAGATGTTTTTGCGACATGGGCCAAACAGCTTCCAGCCACAAAATATACGACTTAAATGGTTTTTTCAGACAAGTGATATGTAAAAATTGTTAAGGAATCGATGGTGTATGGGAATAATGATTTATTCGCGCTTATTTCGGCGCAAATCAAGTTTATATTTAATTTAGCAATGTAATGAACTTTGAGATGGCTAAGACTTCCTCTGTAACGATTAGAGGAAGGCGGAGCCGATCTTCGGATCATTAAGCCATGGTAAAATAGAACGACATCCTAGTTCTTCCATTCAGCTTACAAATCAGTAGTAAGCTTGTAAGCGAGCAAAACACGTGAAAAACTAATTCTATTTTACAAAAGCCTAAAAATCAGAAATTTCCCGAAAGCAAACTTTTATCCAAGTACAGCTTAATCTTAGCTTTATTACAATTTACAAAACGTCTCCTTAACAGTCATTTGTTACCACAAAATACTGCTTTTTCACTTGTTGCTGTAAGGAATTGAACCATCGATATTATGACTGTTGAGCCAAGGACACAAGTAATGGACAATTCATTCAAATCGAAACAATTTCTCTTGAAAAAAGCTCGCTGACATTGTTAGAAAAATGAAGCTAACAGTAAAAATTCATGGTCGCTATTTAAATATCGCCAAATCATAGTTTCAGACGGTGTGGTTGCGAGGTGATGATCATTCAGGTGCATTCAACTCAAAAAAATAAATAAATATCTGGTAATCAGTCATCTGACGAATAAAGCAAATCTTTAATCGACAACTGTACAATTTATTTCTAGAAAAAAAAATAGCGGCCTATTATATCAACCGCATCTCTTATAGCCGATTCGATATGGGCGAGAGAGAAACGTGCCCTTGGCATTACCGTACATCATTCAAAGTCAATGGTCCATCGAAGGACGTAATTCTTTTGCTATTAGAGAAAGTGATGTAAGTTTATCTTGGGGCATCAGGTTTTTGTACTTTGTTATGGAGCCACGATGCTGTTAAAGCCCCAACGGATGTACGCATTACTTTATGATGATGATGTTCGAATGATAGAGAAAATAATAGCAAAGTGTTCAACTCAACTCAGTTTTTTAATTTTATTGGTCCCAAATCAATGATGTGAATGTCTTTTAAAGTAACAATAAACCCTTAAGCGATATTATTGACAAAATACTTAATAGTGCAGATTCAAATAAACTTTATATTCAGTGGGATTTTCAAATCAGGCGCTCCGCTGAAACAGAGCTTGCTTGCAAAGTATTTTTCTTCTACTTATGCAAAACAAATTACTTTATTATTAACTAAAACTAATAAAAATCTATGCTATGTCCAGTGTCCTCAAAAGGATATGTTGTAAAACATGTCTGATAAACAATTGTGACCAAATGTGAGAAAACTGTATTACCATTTTATTTTGTTCAGTGGAAGCTTTTTGCAGCAAACCAAAAAAATTCGCAAATTCCGTTTGAAATTTCAAAATATAGCTCTAGACAAAAAAGGCGATATTTTTAAGTAGTAATCAGTTCAATAGTCTTTTACGTGTTATTGCAAGATTTTAAAACAAGCATTCAACTTCAGCTTTGATTATCTGGGATATAACTTCTCAATTATATCAACGTTTTTTTTCCTTTTTGATTTTATTAGGTAATTGAATTTATTTAAAGATGTGCGAGGCCTCACTGATATATTGCAAACACATTGCATTTAAGACCAAAATTTTACAAACATATCCGTTATCAATTGTTATCTGAATGGAATTGTGGATAGAAGAGCTTTTGTATCTATTTAATACACAACGCCGAAAATTTAATGCATGACTTAAATATTCGCTACTCTTTGACTATTCGCAATCAGTAATCAGAATTGAACAATTTTTTGATCGCTCTATACTTATGGAATAATCTTATTCTAAGTGCAGATTGTGCAATAGTATCATGTTTTTTTGGTTAAAAATTTTAAATCTGTCCGCGGCATAATCGGGTAGCAGAAACAGAAAAAGGTCTACGATGTTAAACTCCGTGTCAATTGAAAACGTCCATTTTTTGGTCTCCATTGACTTGATCTTGGAAAAAATCAGGATTTGATTTCATTCCAATGGAATTTTCTATACTTTCAGAGTCAATTCGCGAAAGCAGATGCTAAACATTTCACATTGTTGCTAAACTTCGTTTGAAAGTAGGATTTTTAAAAAGTAATTAAAGTAGTTTTGAAAAAATCTTTAGTTTTTGGCCAGCATTCACTTGGTCGGAAAAAATCAAGATTTGGTTCGATTCATCATTTGTAACTTAGATATTTTTAAAGCAGGACGAGTAATTTTGTGTCGTGACAATTTCCCATTACTGTTTATCTTCGTTTGGAAGTTACATCCTTATAAAACAGGACGTCTAATTTTGCGAAAATGTAAATTTTTTGCTCATCATTGACTTAATTGGTAACAGTCAGGATTTTGTTCGGTACTAATTAAATTTAACAGAATTTCAAAGTGAATTCTTGTTTGTAAATGCAAAAAAAATCATGGTGCTACTGAACGTGTATGTGTTGAAATTGGATCTTTTTAGAGCAAGGTGTGTAATTCTGGGACAATTTTAATGTTTTGTTCATCATTGGCTTGCTCGAAAAAAATCAGCGTTTTCTTGGACCTTACTAAAAATTAACGAACGTTTAGGGTTAATTCTCGCCTACAAATGGTGAAAAATTTTCCGTTACTGTTTATCTTCGTTTGGAAGTTACATCCTTACAAAACAGGACGTCTAATTTTACGAATTTTTTGACCATCATTGTCTTAATTGGTAAGTCGGGATTTTTTTCTGGATTAGGTAATTTTCGCAGGATTTCAAAATCAGCTCTTCACTGCAAATGCTAAAATTTTCACGTTGCTACTGAACTTTGTGCAGAGATTGGATCTTTTAGGATTCTCAGAAAACGTAAATTTTTTGGCCATTATTGACTTGGTCGAAAAAATATGATCGTTTTCAACGTTCATATCAGTCAGTTATCAACTAGAAATGGTGAAAATGTCACATATAATAACTACTTACTTATCTTCAATTAGAAGTTAGATCTTTCTAAATTCCTGCTTT